CTATAATTTCACGTTGAATCACAATAAGGCTGACTATAATTTCACGTTGAATCACAATAAGGCTGACTATAATTTCACGTTGAATCACAATAAGGCTGACTATAATTTCACGTTGAATCACAATAAGGCTGACTATAATTTCACGTTGAATCACAATAAGGCTGACTATAATTTCACGTTGAATCACAATAAGGCTGACTATAATTTCACGTTGAATCACAATAAGGCTGACTATAATTTCGTAGAAATCTTTCGCTACTGCTGCTATACAACGGATTTCCAGTAAGAATAAGCACAACAGCATTACGTCGGTATACCGAATACAGGGGGGAAAAAAGACGCAGGAAAAGAGTCACAATTTGAAAATTTATGTTTATAAATTTAAAGCTCATAGAAGTTGAATTATTCCATTCAATTACGTAATGATTGACCTCATATATGCCTGAAAAAATGTACTTGACTCTGCATTATATATAAATACACTTGTCAAGTTAACAGTTTGTAGAGTGCTGTTTGATCTAAAAGCATGACACTAGATTAGATGTGTTATTAAATTCAATATATAACGTACGAAATGTAAGAGGAATCAACCAGGATCGTAATCTGGACTGATCTCGTGAGGTCAGGTTAGGCATCACGTTCCTCAGGTCAGATGTTAAAGCTGTGTTCTTCAGGTAGTGGTAAGCCAGACGAGTAGACTCGTTCCTCATTTACTTTTATATATATCTCCTTGTACAACAGTTATGTAAGTTGTGTTATTAACGTGTGTATGTCACGCATTTTTAATATAATGTTACATATCATGTATCATGCAAGTATTGCAATAACTAATTAACTCAGAAATGTTTGTTGTATTACTTTACATTGCATAACTGATATATTGTAAGTAATTAATGAATATATTGTGACTAATGATAAGACGCTTTATACCATGATAATTGACATATTGTAAGTGATTAATGATAACTGATATATTGTAAGTAATTAATGAATATATTGTGACTAATGATAAGACGCTTTATACCATGATAATTGACATATTGTAAGTGATTAATGAATATATTGTGACTAATGATAACTGATATATTGTGACTAATGATAACTGATATATTGTAAGTGACTAATGATAACTGATATATTGTGACTAATGATAACTGATATATTGTAAGTGACTAATGATAACTGATATATTGTAAGTGACTAATGATAACTGATATATTGTGACTAATGATAACTGATATATTGTAAGTGACTAATGATAACTGATATATTGTGACTAATGATAACTGATATATTGTAAGTGACTAATATAAATAGTGTTTTGAAGATGGCTTTGACTGTTGTATTCCTAGCAGACTTGACGAGTTCTGGCATTGACCATAAGGCCTCGTCGGCAATGGCTTAGGACATATATGGTATGCAGGTAGCCGGAAATAAAGTCACAAACTTTTTAATATCCAAATTCATTAATCACTTACAATATATCAGTTATCATGGTATAAAACGTCTTATGCTGGCGAAGAGTGATCTACTAATCTGTAATTTATTTATTTTGTTGTTGTTTTTTTTACAGAGTTTGACGGAACAACCGTTTTGTGTCGTGTGTGTGGAGATAAAGCTAGCGGTTTCCACTATGGAGTTCACTCTTGTGAAGGATGCAAGGTAAGAGCATTGGATAATATAACTTTGCAAGGTACGAGGTGATTGTAAAGAAAACCCCACATTTGAAACTTTCAAAACTACTTCTCCTAGAAGAATAAAATTTCACCTTATAGATAATAAATTGTTTTATTTACGAAAGATTGGATGTCGTGTTTTAAATATTTTTAACAAACGGAGTTCAATATGATTTCCGTCATTTCTCAATCAGTTTATAAAGCCTATTCCTAAGCGAAACTACTGCAAACACCGTCGGTTTCTGGACGATATTCTTTGATCCTTACAAAATATATATGTACACCGCACTAACATGCATTTTTATTGTGATTTGAATCTCCTAATGTTGAAAGAGAGATTTAAAAAAAGCACACAAACAAATAATAAAGATAAAACAGTTCAAGTTTGCGAAGTTATATAAGTTTTGAAAGTTGTAAGTCCTAACTAAACCTTACGCTCTTCTGGTAACTCTGGTTTCAATATATATAGGTTTTGAAAGTTGTAAGTCCTAACTAAACCTTACACTAAACCAGAGTTACCAGAAGAAAGCGGAATGCACAAGTACAACCCGATTTGAGAACTTAGGCCTACTTTATTTAACTATTAACTAAAGATAAGACAATGAAACTCACGTTAAATTGGACATAGGTAGAAAATGAGCCAATCTTCATACCCGAAAACGGTTGTACGACGTCACAGTCACTTATAACCAAAATATACTTTGCCACCCCCACCCCCCAAATGGCTTAGCGGTAAGTCCCTGGACACAACCCATTGCGTAGCTTTTTGTGCTTAACAGCAGATAAACAAACAAAATAGATCTTGTTTTGAATAGATAAAATGTGTTTGTGTTGGTAAAGAAAAAATACTCTTGATGGGGAATAGTATTCTAACAAGTCTTGGATATCAGTTGGTCAAACTCCCTTTTTAAAATTATTATATATTGAAACCAGAGTTACCAGAAGAACGTAAGGTTTAGTTAGGACTTACAACTTTCAAAACTTATATATATTGCAGTTAACTATAAAACGACTTAGCTTTACCAAGAAAAAGATTCAGAACATGCGATCAAAACGTCTACATGTTTTCCGTTTAAGATTCTGATAACTAAATAAAACTTATCTTTGTATTGAGTGAAAGGCCTCGTCGGCACTGGAAATTGTTCGGATTATAAAGTCGTATTGTGCTCACTGTTAAATTGACCATTTGACGAAGGACAACGTAGTCATTGTAAAAAAACATCATCGTATCTTTATAATATTATGTCAAAATATTTATAAAGATTCTTCATGTAGATGTGGCAACTTTTTATAAGGAAATCCTTCATCAGGTTATATCAGACAAACGTAGTATATGATAAATAACTTTCTAGGTTTCTCGTCATTTTCAAACCTATGGTTAGATTACAGACAAAATGAATTCTTCGAACTCTTGTCAAGGTTTTGGTTAGATAAGTTCATAGACAAAAAATATTGATGGTTAGTTTGAATGTACGATATTGAAAAGTTCTTCCGATGCCGAGCGGTTACTTATATAATTTGTATTTGCATATTTATCGAGTGTAATTTACGGTTCGTTAGAAGAGCTTCTTTTGCTTCTAAACTGCTTTAAAACAGACGTAAGCGAGAGCAACTGCTTTGTTGTGGTTTTGTTCCCATGGAAACAGATTTCTACATGTTTGTCTTCGTTAACCTTGAAACTCGCTCTCTCTCTCTCTCTGGGCTAGGGGGTCATTGACCGTGAGTGTCATCGAGAGGTCTTGCAGCACCTGCTATAAAGACCCAGCCTACCTGCCTTGAGGGATGGGGGGGGGGACATAGTCTTGTTACTTTTGAAATGGGTTCATTGGCCTATAAGTGTTATCTCATCTTATTTTTTTCTTTCAAAGATGTTTCAAATCTCATTTGTATTCTTGGATTATCAAGCTACTACCATATCCATCACAAAAAAAAGAAAGAAAAAGCCACTGTTATTGGCTCTTTAGATTTCAAGTTCACGGTATGCGAGGTGGGGTGAATAACCGGTCGTTTCCTTCCGCCCTTGGGCCTGTGGTCTAGGAAGACTAAACTGTACTAGGTCATGGCCAAATTGACTGTGTTACTTGTATGTTGCTTAATCCTACAGATACGGAAGGGATGGAAGTTAAGATGGTCGCAGAAATTTTCTCAGTAACTCCAATCTATCGACATTATTTGAAACTCAGATATTTATTTGACTAACAACGACAGTCCTATTTGGTAAGTGTTTAAACAATTCTAGTGTTGGTTATATATTGATACAACTACCGATCCCGAACCTACTGACTTTTTATTGTTGTTTCGTACAAGTTTGTGTGTCTATAACGTCACCACTGCTTTCCACGTAGTTACGAAATTTGAAGGAGTTCCAGGGTTAACTAAAAGTACGATGCTATTCACTAACCCTAAGACTTTATATGACCTTTGAGGGTCAAATGACTCCACTTAGGTTTCTAAGGAATTGTATGAATGTCCAAATTATTGTAGACCTTTGAACTTTGTTTGTTCGAAGTTAAACACGAAGCTACACAATGAACTACCTGTGATATGCCAACCACGGGTATTGAAACCCAGTTTCTAGCGTTGTAAGTCCGCAGACATACCGCTGTGCCACTTGGGGGGGGGGGGGTGAACTTTATGTAGTTGTAGTAGCTTTCGCATATTTTCTTAAGTTTGTTTGTTTGTTTTGAATTACGTCACATTATAACGCCCCCACGGCTGAAAGAGCGAGCATGTTTCGTGGGACAGGGATTCGAACCTGCAGATTGCGAGTCGAGCGCCCTTACCACCTGGCCATTCAGGGCTCATTTTCTTAAGAGGTTTATTTTGTAATCTATTTAAATATATTTTCTTCAGTATTATATATTTGTTGTACGTCAAGCCACTACAAACACCTATATTTTACCATCACACCTTAATTATAAGGTGTCACCAGAATTGCATACACCCGTATTTTGTTGTGTCAGTCACCCATGTGGTGCTCGTGCTTCAATATTTGCTTCACCGTCTTACACACCTGTGTACCATTTATCACTTTTACTCAGTCGTGCTGTATTAGACATTTGTTGTTTTACTGTGTTATTCCTGGACTAGTAAGCTCCGTTTCACATTTGTTGTTTTACTGTGGTATTCCTGAACTAGTAAGATTCGTTTCACATTTGTTGTTTTACTGTGGTATTCCTGGACTAGTAAGATTCGTTTCACATTTGTTGTTTTACTGTGGTATTCCTGGACTAGTAAGATTCGTTTCACATTTGTTGTTTTACTGTGGTATTCCTGGACTAGTAGATTCGTTTCAAATTTGTTGTTTTACTGTGGTATTCCTGGACTAGTAACCTCCGTTTCACATTAGTTGTTTTACTGTGGTATTCCTGAACTAGTAAGATTCGTTTCACATTTGTTGTTTTACTGTGGTATTCCTGGACTAGTAAGATTCGTTTCACATTTGTTGTTTTACTGTGGTATTCCTGGACTAGTAAGATTCGTTTCACTTTTGTTGTTTACTGTGGTATTCCTGGACTAGTAAGATTCGTTTCACTTTTGTTGTTTTACTGTGGTATTCCTGGACTAGTAAGATTCGTTTCACATTTGTTGTTTTACTGTGGTATTCCTGGACTAGTAAGATTCGTTTCACTTTTGTTGTTTTACTGTGGTATTCCTGGACTAGTAAGATTCGTTTCACATTTGTTGTTTTACTGTGGTATTCCTGGACTAGTAAGATTCGTTTCACACTTGTTGTTTTACTGTGGTATTCCTGGACTAGTAAGCTCCGTTTACGACAAGAATTCCCTTTTGCCAGAGAGAAAAACACTCGTATACCTACATTTTGATTGTTTTTGTTTTTTAGTTTAATGGTTCTTTAGGGGTAAGTCCAAGAATGAAACGTGTTATTTAAGTGTAAAAAAAAAACCAACAAAATATAATGGACTTACAATAATACGGAGGGAAAACATATATACAACCGTATTTTGAAAACTAACACTTTTCGTACACTTTACATATTCGTGTGGCAAACGTAAGAATTGCCTACAAGGAGAAAGGCAAACAATTAAATGTGTTTGTGTAACTAAACGGTAATTTCACTATTCTGGAAGAACACAAACATTTAAAGAAAGGACAGAGCAAACTGGGTCCGTACTATCATGGTGGAAACATACCCATTATATCTCCATCACGCGTACAAATACCTACTTCGTTTTGACCAATACGTAATCTAACCTGCCAGAAATTTGATACACGTGTACTTCGAAAATAAACACTAGATGTAATTTTAAGTTTGTTTTAATTTTGAATTTAGAGTTAACTTAATGATATCAATCAGCCAGAATCTTAACTTCAATTATAAGGAAATAAATGTAGGGGTGCCCAATTACTTTTTTCTAGGGGGGGGGGAGGTGTATCTTTTGTAGTTAAGCCACTGATTTCAAGTATAGCGATATGAAAAAACAGTAGCCATTGTATTTGGAACTTAAAATAAGAATACATGCAGAATTTTCTTTCTTTGCTTTTAGACATTTACAACATAATTTATCTGGTAATACCTTAAGACACGATAGGGGGGCATAAACACGGCTGCATGAATTTAACAATCTGTTTATCGGAAAATGACATTTTTTGGGACACGATAGGGGGGGACATAAACACGGCTGCATGAATTTAACAATCTGTTTATCGGAAAATGACATTTTTTTACTATGGTATGACCTTAAGACACGATAGGGGACATAAACACGGGTGCATGAATTAACAATCTGTTTATCGGAAAATGACATTTTTTACTATGGTATGACCTTAAGACACGATAGGGGGACATAAACACGGGTGCATGAATTTACCAATCTCTGTTTATCAGAAAATGACATTCTTTGACTGGTTTAAAATTTCAGTCATCACGAATAGCTGTAGTAACCTGCTTGACTAGAGAGGGCGGAATGCATCAGCGACTAACGCCCCAGGTTTTAACGCCATAGTTTCTCCATGCAAGGTGAGTAACCGTCCCCATGCCCACACTAGGCCAGTAATAGCTGTTGAGCCAGTGCGCATGCGGGCTCTGAACTTGAATCCACTCACACTTTCTTACAGCTCGTTACGTCATCAACTACTTTTACTTTCGTGAAAGTGTGTCACAGAGACCGGTCGGTCATCGACCTACTGTAAGCTCGTGCGATAAACAAGAGGATTGCGTATGCGTACAAGAGGCTTTCTTACGTAAAACTTTTATGAGTGATGCCGTGGTAAACAATCTAATTTGGGTGACCTCAATAATGCCCTACTCGTGCTTGTTTGTCGCTTTGAGTTCTCATTTCAGGTGAAGTCTATTGGTAAGGCAGGTCGTGTAGCTCAGTGTTCAGATATATTGAAAGCGTTTGGAAACTGAAATAAAAAAACGTACTTCTGTTTGAGTTTGATAAAGGTCAGTTATAAACAATGCTGCACTTTAATTAATGATATAAACAGATTGCTTGATTTGTAAACACCTCTACAATGGCAGTTGTGTATTCGTTGCTTAAAAGCGGCAGAACTCTAAAACTGGTTCGTCATCGTTCTTCTACCAAACAGGGGTTCTTCAGGAGAAGTATTCAACAGAAGATTCAATACAGACCCTGCACCAAAAACCAGCAGTGTTCTATCTTGAGGATCAACCGAAATAGGTGTCAATACTGTAGACTGAAGAAGTGCATCGCAGTTGGAATGTCACGTGATGGTAAGTATGTGTTGTATGTGTTAAAAAAAAGTGTCAGAAAAATTAGTTTGAACTTTCGCAGATATATATATATATATATCATTCAGTAATCTTTGTATAATAATTATTTAATACGAGACTTCTCTAAGAAACAACTTTCACGAATCCCTCTTGTTGCTTGTTGGCCCTGGGGTAGAGACCTGGATTTCGGACTAAGCAATCCGAGTTCGAACCCGTGTGATACGACAAACTATTCCTCGTTATAAGAGTGGCAGTCAATCCCTTAACGTGCATGGTAGGGTGCTTAACACCCGCCGTAGTTCAAAGCTAATGACAGTGGCAGATGCCTTAGAAACTTCGACAAAAATACTTTTATTGTACTGAATAATAAAATTGTTTGTGATAATTCGGCAGAGAGAGCAAAAGCCAAGCGTTCACTATAAGTACATTAAAAGTTTGGTTTCAAAGAGAGAAATCTCGCCTCCTACGAGTAATTGTGATACTGTAGGGCTTGTACTTATTGAAAGTGTAACAAAATCAGGTCGATTATTATTCCGGTTGTTAGCCCTAGGTGGCAGCACTATTTGAACGATCGTTATTTCGACACGTGCAAAACTTAATTCAAGGACGCGAAGAAGTAGCGGTATGCTATTTGGTGAATTTGGGCTCGAAGTGTGCCACAATCAAACACAAGGGCTGAAAATTTAGTTGCCCTCGTTTCTCCGGGCATAGCATATACTAGATATCCTCAGCTGAATGGCAGTCAGTAATGTATAACTAAAAATTATTATTTAACTAATGTAAAAATATTGTTTGTGAGTAAAATCCTATTTGTTGTTTTTTTTTTTTGTACCAATTCCCTCGTCACGTTTGTTAGTGTTGAAATTGATGTTTTTAAATGTTTCGTAATTCGTTGAGTCATGTATGTTGAGCTTTGTGCGAAGAAATGCTGATTACAAGGTCGTTTACTTCGCAAGTTGCTGAGCGAGTTGATTCGTCAGTGATAAAAAAGAGGGCGCTTTACTCATGATCTATGAGGCGAGTATAAGATCCCTATAGCCGTACCTTGTCTTTTGGTGCTTTCGCCTCTTTCTACCTCTAGATGGAGACACCAAGTATTATCCGAAGGTCAAGTTAGAAAAATTAAAAGTGTAAACCGATTGCCAGGAAGAAGTTCAAGGACACATTAGTCTGGACTATCTTTGTGAGCATGCGTTAACTTACAAGCTGGCGGATGAGGTAAATCCTGTGTGCGATAAGGTTTCATTATCGTAACATTTGTGGAGTGATGAGTTACACAACTTCAGTACTAGTGCCTGTGTAAAGTACACGTCCATATATTAACAACATTTGTGGAGTGATGAGATACACAGCTTCAGTACTACTAGTAGTGACTCTGTAAGGTACATGTTCGTAAGTTAACATTCCAAATCCATCTCGAAGTGAAAGCCCTGCTTTTCAGTGAGAGTTTATGTGTGTGACCTTAGAAACACAGAATCAGAATATTCAGCAGTATTCTCAATACGATATTGAACGGAAATTTAAAAAATGAACACTCAACTATAACTTGCATATCGATTAGATGGGATAAAAAAATAGATGTAAGATTTACAAGATCAAAAGACGACTGTAAGTTTTTCATTATTTTTTTAATTGTTAGTTACTCTGTGTGTTTATTTGTTTGTTGTTAAGCGCAAAACTACACATTTGTGTTGTGTCTATCGCTGGAGGGGATGGCTTAGAATCGAACGCGATATATATACTAGCTGACTTGTCTGAAGTTCCCCTTTCTTCTTAAAATATCAACAATGATATTATACTTAACTCTTATAAACTAATGTTATTGTTTAATTATTACTATTAAATGTTTAACATGATATTTCTTCTACCTTCAGCTGTGCGTTTCGGACGCGTCCCGAAACGGGAAAAGGCCAAGATTTTGGCGGCTATGCAGAAGGTGAATGCTACGTCTCATGAAAAGGCCGTGAGTTCAGAACTTGAAGATGAGGGGCGACTTCTGACCACCATCATCAGTTCTCATGAGAAGACATGCGACTACACCAGGGATAAGGTCGCTGCACTGACGGAGAGAGCTCGCACTCAACCAGTGCGTACAAACTGTTTCCCACATTTGGTGAGTGTTTAGTAAATCCGTTTCGCCAAATACGTTCTTTAATATATAGAGTTTAACTTCCACTGTCTGTTACTCGGGGGCTTTTTGCGCTAGTCATCCCTAATTTAGACGTGATAGGCTAGAGAGAAGGTAGCTAGTCAAAACCACTCGCCGTCAACTCTTGGACTACTCTTTACCACTGGCTATGAACACACCTATAGGAAATTAGTAATCGTGATACATTATTTACATTCACTGACCAAATTCATTATAATAGACACTACATGTTTAGATATATTATCGAGTTTCAATAAATGTTCAATTTATACAACTCAATGTTGTCCAGAAGTTCATTGATGTGTTTTGACCCCCAAGTGTGATGTTAGGTAAATAATTGGTGTGACGTGAACTGGATAATTGAGGTGTCATGTGATATACATACAGTGTCAGTAATAAAGTCAATGTGAAAAAGTGGTCAGTAAAAATGTCAGTCTAGTATTATATATTTGTAAAATGATTGTGTTACCGATGGGAGCAACATCAGTTTGCAATCTGTCTGTATAATCTTCGGGTCCAACCTTCACGTTGTTTTGGGAAGGACCGAAATATCACACCAAGGCGGATGATTAGGTTGAATTTTAACTATTCTCCATTTTTAATTGTCTACCGAATCACCAAGAAATTCAAAGAATTTCAGCGAGACAATTATCTTATTTGTTTAGAACTGTAAACACCGAATTGTTTGTTGTTCAGAAAAAGAACAATAGTGAAATGCTGTCGTTTTGTTGTTCGTATTTGGCAGGGTGTTGTATTTCACCCTCTACTGCTAATAAAGCTTGAAGCCTTCGACTTATTAAGCCTTATTTCTGTGGAAAGCTTCCTGGCCTTGACTGCTGCGTCAGCATGGTGAAAGTCATCAACGTTCGAGATTAATCCCAAGGGCACGTGGCTCAATACCGAAATGGAATAGAACCCTGTTCAAGGTCTCGCGAATCATATATTGCTGACCTTCAGATATATCATTTAGCCAACACAGTTTTTTTTTTTTACGTAACATATTTTATCAATACTAATTTGTTTATACCAGGAGAACTGATTTATAGGCAGTACATCGTAAGAACTGTGCAATGAAAGTAAATTGTGCTAGATAAGTTGTTTTATTAGATTTGCTTTTAGTTTTACATGTCAGATGTCTACTTTGTCGTCGTGTTGGACTTTCCTTTAGATTTGTATGCCAGATGTATACTTTGTCGTCGTGTTGGACATTCCTTTAGATTTGTATGCCAGATGTCTAACTTATACAAAACTAAAGGAAATCCAACACGACGACAAAGTAGACATCTGGCATACAAAACTAAAAGTAAATCCAACACGACGACAAAGTAGACATCTGGCATACAAATCTAAAGGAAAGTCCAACACGACGACGTTGTACAGGTCGTAAAACTTACAAGAGGTGAATTAAGATTTGGGTATATATATATATATGTTTAACTAAAAAGTGTAATTTGATGGTACTAATACCAGTAGTTATTTTTTTTTCCAAAATATATTAAACATAACTTTCGGAAGCTAGGTGAGAAGATAAATCCAATATTAAAAATATATTTGTAATCATATACACTTGAATCTTGACAACTTACAGAGGCATATAACAGTTGTTTGTCTTTTTTCTTTAGGTGTGTCCCCTTAACCCAGCACCTATGGAGCAGGGCGAAAACAGTGAGATGATGAAACATTTCTCGGAGTGGTTTGCTCCAGCCATTTGTGGGGTGGTCGAGTTTGCCAAACAGATTCCAGGTTTTAGTTTGTTGCCCCAAGAAGATCAAGTGACTTTGCTGAAAGTAAGTAATATGTCAGAATGGATTTGTCTATAAAACAAAACTATTAATGAGTCCATTGTGAAACAGATAAATTTTCTTTGAAATATCAGAACGTAAGTTTGTTTGTTTTTAATTTGGCACTGATTATTTAAACAATATGAACCAGAAAAATTATCAAAAGAAATAATTAATAAATAATGATAAATTAGTTAACTCCCAAAAGTGAAGACAAACTGTAACAGGAAAATAAATGACAACTCGGGTTTTGAACTCAACTCTGATCCATTCCTTACATATTTGAAAAAAAAAAAATTTGATACGTGCTCTTCGTGTTCCGTACATTTTAGTGAAATGCCAAATGCTTGTAGTTAACAAGCGCTTAGGTTTAGAAGTGACAGAACTGTTTTTGTTATTACAGGCTGGAGTGTTTGAAGTCCTGTTGGTCCGGCTGGCTTGCATGTTTGATTCAGGAAATAACAGTATGATGTGCTTGAATGGCCAGGTTATTCACAGAGAAGCCCTACACACTTCTAACAATGCCCGTTTCCTTCTCGACTCCATGTTTGATTTTAATGAACGCCTTAACGCCCTAAGATTGTCGGACGGGGAGCTCGGTCTGTTTAGTGCTGTGGTGTTGATAGCTGCAGGTGAGTGAAAAGTTTCTAACCCTTTTTTTTAAGGTTCTGTGTTAGTAAGTTTTGTTAGATGTGATTAAAAAATATGCATTTATTTTAGAAAAATAAAAGACAGGCTTCTTCGGAAGTTTTATAAAGAAATCCCACGTGCACAGATCTTACGTGAAGGAGTTCAGTGTTCCACTTTCCTCTCATGTTAGTTTCGTTCTGATAGGTTGATACACATTCAAAAAAGTAATATTTGCATTTTCAGTTAAATGTATTTACGAACATATCGTTTGAAACGTCTTCTTTACAAAAATTTATTTAACTTTGTTTCTTTTCATTAATATCCAGATCGCCCAGGCCTTAGGAATGTCGAGCTTGTTCAGAAAATCCAACAGAAATTGTCCGATTTGTTGCAGAAAGTGGTTATCTCGGGTCATCCAGAAAACCCGCACATTTTTGGTGAGCTGATGAAAAAGATACCAGACTTAAGAACACTCAACACACTTCACTCTGAGAAGTTTCTGGCTTACAAAATGGAACCCCAGAATAATGGTTTAATGGATCCATCCAGCACTGTGACATCCTCCACTTTATTATCAGCAGACCCTTGGAGCCAATATGAAACTACATAAATTCTGACCACCAGCAATTTGACAGTAACAGGAACAATTACTTAACTGGCCAGCAGAAAGATCAGCCAGCAGCCTGCAAGTGGATTACACCTGATCCTCATTATAATACTGACAGCCCACATTTAGAAGCCTGCTATGTCGTGTCCACAGAAGAAGGAAAGAGTCCTGTGAGATCAGCGTCTTTTTCTAGTGCTCATAGCTACGACAGTAGGTTATCCAGTGAGCTCCATTTGAAAAGACCCAGAGAACATGCAGGGGAAGATGGTTGTGGTGGAGAGAACCCTGTAAAGGGTCCTTACACGAAAATGAAGAGGGTCGATTCACCTAGTGATTCTGGTATTGAGAGTGGTAGAGAACACGCCACAAACAACACCCCCAATACGTCTGTGTGCTCTAGTCCAAGGTCGCTGGAGGAAAAGATGAAGGATATCACTGAATGTGAAGAGAAGAATGAAACGGTTGAAGAAATGTCTGTTCTGAAGAGAGCTCTTCAAGCTCCACCGTTAGTCAACTCCAACATGATGATGGAAGATGCTTATCGGCACCACAAAAAGTTCAGAGCCATGAGGAGAGAACCAGAAGGTCCACCATCCAGCAGGTCATTAGGAACCCCTCACTCCAACGTTTCTCTTGCTAGTACCCACAGTGTCTTGGTGAAGACTTTGGAACGAGCTCCACGGTTTCTGGATGCACAACAGGTAAAAAGAACGGACCTTATTCACAACATCATAATGAGAACGGAGAACATACCCCCAGCAGTAGCATTAATGGCACCAACCACGACTATGGCTACTAGCGCTACACCTATCATGGCAACTGGTACCTCCGTTTCACCAAGGTCATCAGTGAAAATGGTATTTCCATATAATATCGATACTAGTAGTCATGTTACAGTACCCAATACATTTGTATCTGCAGGTTCTGGTCATGCAGACAAGAGTGTTATGGTCTGCCCACCTGGATATTATTTGCCTCTGGAGGAAGTCAATGCATATTCTTCCACCTCATGGCCAATGTCGGTCGCATCTAGCAATATTAGGACACTAGACGGAGAAAGGACCAATATACTGTCCACTGCAATGACCCAGGTCCCGAATGCAAGTGTGGTCACCTCACAACAACATCCAGCGTCAGCTACGAGTGTAATAACCGGTTCAGTCCATTCCGACCATCGAATGTTCGTAGAACCCCATTCTCCAGGAGTTTCTTCTACCCTAGTCATCTCTCCTGGACTTCCCAGTTCGTATATTGCATTAAACACTTCCGTGGTTCAGAAGGGAGACGAACTCTTTGAAACTCCCCTGAATTTATCTAAAAAATCCCCACTTCCGCAACCCACTGTACTAAGAATGCATACATGATGTTCAACTTGGACAAAGTAAGATAATAAAATACTTACAGCCAGTTGTCATGGAAATATGGCAGTGTGCCAAAGGTGAACTCTGTTTCAGTGTACGATGCACTGATTATAAACAAAGACAAGGTTTTTCTGTTCAACAACTCCATGTCATTTTTGAAAGCATTGTGATAAAATAAAATGTAAATTTGGAATGTAGATATAAAAACGTTAGCGTCTTCGTAATAAAAATAATGTAAGTTATTATAAAATAATACGAGAGACCTGAATTCATAGCTAACGCAAGTACAAAATATGTTGTCTTGTTTATGTTCGTACAGTAAAATTCTCAATTAAATATCCAGAGATAGAGACCAGACTTAGTGTTGTTGTCCAATAAGTTTCGTTTTCTTTTTTCGTTAAGAAACACTCGAGCATACTGTAGGAAATGTAATTTATATAAAGTAAAATCCTAGACGTAATGCACTGTGTCCATTATCTATCGGCAAGATGTCTCAACAGAATAAAAAAAAAGTTTGTTTTATAACTTCCATCTTTTCAAAAGCGCCATCTCGAGCTAGTAAAACAAGTTTAGTGAGATAAAAAAAGCAATTTCTTTTTTTCTTGTCATCTTGTACTTAATATCATCAACATTTTTGCATCCAATAAAGCTTTATCAAGGGTGAAAATGTGTTTGTTTCATTCCAAAAAAAGTATAGAACATTAACATGTTACATAACACAGAATACTTGCTGACGGACGGTCTCTGGCATGGCCTGGTGGTTAGGGCACTTGACTCGCAATCTGTGGGTTCGAATCTCCTTTAAATGAACATTCTCGTCACTTGAGCCGTGTGGGCGTTATTGTGTGAGAGTTAATCCCAATATTCGTTTGTAAAAGAGTTTGAGGTGGGTGGTGTTGAGTAGTTGTCTTTCCTCCAGTAGTCTTTCTCTGCTAAATTAGAGCAAATAGCCCCGGAGTAGTTTTGAAAAAGTTTTAAATTTGGGTGTAACAAATGTAATACCATACTTTTTCGAACAACACACGTGATTGCAGGAAAATAATAATTGCAGTATTTATTAACAGCCATTAATTAGAATTAAGATAATAAAATCGCCCTTTTATATATATAGCCTGAACGTACCCATATTCGTATGTCACTAAAAACGTGTTGTTTTCTCGTGTTAATACATGGTTCTAAAGATGGGTGACTAAATCCAATCCATAGGAAAGTAAGGAATGGGTTATCCTGGAATTGCCTATCGGCTTTTTAAACTATTCACCAAGTTCATTGTGGTACAGGGTAACACATAAAACATTTAATAAAACTAAAGTAATTAATCCTCTTAATTACTGAGTGATTTCACCCTTTTCTTTGGGGAGTTCTTTATTCGTAACAAGCAAAACACTTGAAAATTCTGAAACAAACGAGCGATGATTAACATCTTTTACACCTGAAAACAAAGGCATATGTATCAACATGGGAAACAAGGACCATCCAAAGAGAGACCTGCAACAAATGGTAAAATATTCAGCATCTTGTATAATCCACGTACACAGAGGTCAGTAGCAAAGCTGTCTACATTCCCCAGGCAACAATCTTCAACTTGATTAAGAAGAATCTCCGTCTGGAAAAGCGACACAAGTTGTTTCCACGGCATATCTGTTTAACTGTCCCATACCTAAAGAAGTGGAATAATTCTAAGAACTTACAAATCAAAGTAAAGAAGAATGTATAACGATCTGTCAACCATACTATCTGCATATTTAAGTCATTTACAAATTAAAATTAAGGTAAGAATTAATAACACATTATTTATTTTATTTCTGTGAGATCAGACTGTTGAAACAGGCGGTATACGTTCGACATGAATTTTAACGATGGAACCTTTAGCAATGAAAACCATCGGGGTAGGACTATTGTCAAGATGCATATTCGTCAGATAGAGCATGACCAAACGTGGCGACTTTGATCTGTAGCAGTGTGAATCGCTTTAATTTAATGTATTCAATCTCCGTAGTACAAAACGCCATACTTATTTGAAAATTTGGATACTTTGAAATGAAGGCCTAGTGGAAATGAAAATCGTTACCCCTAGTGGCAGAGCTGTAAGTCTACTGATTTATAACGCTAGAAACCGGATTTCGATACACCTGGTGAGCAAAGCACATATAGTTTCATTGTGTAGCTTTGTGATTAATTACAGATAAACAAACAAAATCAGCAGTACTGTAGGTGATCATCATCCTGAAGGTACAAAGATGAAAAAGGAACACGTTAAGTTGAGATTTCGACATTTGGGTTGTTCAGGAAAAGTAAATTCATCTTTGTTTTTTATTTTTTTGTAATGAAGAAATATATTACAATAAAATAGGAAATGTTTGAAGATTCTAAAGAACTTATATAAATAAT